ATGTATAAGTAATTAATAAGAGACCTACTTCCAGATGTATACTGAAGACATATCAATTTCAAGGTTTTAATGACAATTCCTGCATTTTACCATGTCCTGAAATTTGCAGTTTGTTTTATAAATCAAGTCTAACATTGGACCGTTTAAAAACTGTAATTTTGTTTTTCTCAACGGCCACAGTTTATGTATAAAGATCTTCATATTCAAAAAATTACAAATAATTCAAATGGCTAAAATCTCATAGAACTACAGGTTAGTATTATGGTAAAATAGTTTTCCTAAATTATTTCTGAATTCATGCCTGATTTAATAAAGTCATTAAATTATTTCAACTGTTATCAGTGATTTTAGAGAAAAAACTGCCCTGGCACATCTAGGAAACCAGATACTTTATACATATGATATGCCTAAAATGTAAAGTCAAGAAATATAGAAAATTGAAAAAAGAAAAACTAAAGATCAATATGCAATTTATAAAACATTCCCTAGAAATAAAAATTGGTGTCATGGTAGTTTTTTTACTTTGGTCACCAGCAAAAGTATATGACGACAAAGTCATTAAGAATAAAATGCAATCAGTCACATAGGATCATAGACAGAAAGCCCATCAGATCGAACTAATGTCTATCTCAAGCATCCTACTACTCACTTGCTGTGACCTTTTGGATCCTCTTTGAGTTAATGGTGCTATAAATCATGAAGCATCTGGCGTAAAGGTGGCTTTGTATGAAACCTCTCATAAAAAACAAAAAGAAACAGCCCCAGAGTTTGGCTTTTTTTGCCCCCGAAGATTAAGCAAAATTGAACACTGAATGACATTTTTTTATTTGTAGCTATATTTTATATTTTTTATATTTCAGCTTTTGTGCTGCAAGACAGTCAAAGGCACAGGGGCCATACATTAGCTTAGGTCTTAAAATGTCCCTGGACATAAAGCATTGAACAGTATCTAATTTTAATCTTTGCAACAAAAAAAACCAACAGATTTTTAAATCTCCTATATTGTGACTCTTTTCAGCGCTTTGAACCTCAACAGCAGCTTTTTTTTTTTTATCTCTGTCATGATTTTTTTATCAGAATATGTTTCACCTGAGCAGATTGCCGCCTCTGTTGAAAACCAGCTCTTATGGAGTTTCATCAAAGCAGTGGACCCCTAACCCACAGCTGAATGTCTTTTTTATCTTACTGAATGGAATGCTATTTGAAAGAGGAGATTAACTTGTTGAGGCAGAGCTTAAAATCGAAAAGATTAAAAAAATGAATAACTAGCTGATTTAATTGTGAAATGAGTATCAAATATCAGTGCTAAATCTTACTGCTGTTGGTTTATTATAAATTATCCACATTTTTAATGTAAGAAAAGGCTCTTATTTCACCTTTAATACCTGGATTGTGCACCTACTCAATAGCAGGTGAGCCATAAAGTGAAATAAATCTACAACCTGATGCACCAAGGAATACTGAAACCCCAGGGTGGCAACTGAGCACAAAGACATTAGATGATATAGCTTAAAAATTGTTAAGATAACAAACTACTTGGTATTTTGTCAGAGTTTTGTTTCATCCTATCCTATCCCCCAGGCTTGAAGTTTCTCAGAAATGTTAAGATAAAAATCAAATTTTCCTGATAACCTCTGGAGTTTATTGATTAGAAGAGATTATTTTTTTGGTCTCTTGCTGGCTTTAGTTTTGAAGCCTCTATGCAGGAAACAAATAATGGAACCCCTGGAGGAGAGTGTAGCTGCGTCTGTCATGAAAAACTAATGTTTTAAAAGTAAATCTTAGAAGAACCAAATTCTTGCACAGGGAAGGATATATAAAGAGCTTTCAAGATAGACCCCTGAACTAGACGTTAAAGCTGAAGTCTGTAAGTTTTTAAAAATCACTTTTTTGTCATACTGGCTAAAACTGTCCCTATGCCCAGACAGCAGTACATGTGATATGTAACCTGTGAAAAAAACTGCTTCAATTGGTACCGCCTACTGCCTGTATTTCAATCTGGAAAGAATAATTCGGGACGAGTCAAAACAACCAATCACAGCCAGAGGAGCGTCTGATGGAGTGTCAATCACAGCTCACACACGCTGAAATGTATTTTTGGAAAATAGGATTTCCTTTACCACTTATTTCAGTGCCAGATTAGCCAGAAAAAGACTGACTTAAAACCTGTGTTGAATCTATAGAGCAGTGACTCCCAACCAGTGGTACCCATGAGTGCATTGCAAAGGGTACGTAAAAATATTTTATTTCTTTGGTAGTAACATAAAATAGTGCTGGTATCTGTTTTGTGAGGACCCAATTGAAAAAAAACAAAAAAAAAAACGTATCAAACAAAAAGTAACTTTTTCTTATATGTTTGAGTTCACCTTTAGCTTCGACACACATCAAACCAGGCAGAGGAACAGACTGGATGTAGAGAACAGTCTGGTATCTGCTGTTTTTCACACTGATCTATCGTAGCTCATAAAAGCAGCTCAGGTATCTTGATGAAAACAAATAAAACTAATTAAGTCAGTCTGACTATAATTTTTGTTTTGTATTTTATTCCCAATTCATCAAGTTTAAATGTGATTGTAAGGGAGTTACTCAGAGGAGCTCCAGTTTTATAAATACAGGTTTATAATATGATGTTATTTTGTAATTATTTCAATTTTTTACTAACTTCCAGGGAAACATATTTATGTTGTTTTTTTTATTTGAGATGGAAATAAAACATTGCCTAGGAATTAAATGCTCAAATTAAAAGATTAAGCAAAATAGTTTTACTCTATAATCAGTTATTGTACATTTGACATTTGGAAAATCATTACTTTTGCCCAAAAAGGGTACCCATGGTAAGAAAAACCGCCCAAAGGGATACACAAGTCAAAAAAGTTTGGGAAACATTGCTATAGAGCATTATCAACAGGAAGATTAGAGAGACCAAAACCAAAAATGTAGACAAATGGGAGGCCACCAATAAAGCCATTTGGGCTCCCTTTACATCACCAGAGAGCCACAGGGTTCTTACCTCCATGCCATCTTAACCAATTACAGGATATAGACCCAATTCAAATACTGTACCGTACTTAGATTATTATTGAAAGTCTGTCAATTTTAGTAACTGAATTCATAGAGCTAAACAGAATATATCTAGATAGACTGTACATGGACTGATTATAAAGACCTTTATAATTAGAACATTGCATGAATCCAATAAAAAAAGAAACAGATAAAAATTCCTAACAAAAATGTCAGCAAATGAAAAGTTTCCTCAGTATTGTCAAAAGTTACTGGTATGTATTTAAAAAAAAAAGCTATTTACGTTGGTCCAATGACAAAACCTTCAAAAGGAAAACACAGGAAATATACCAAGGGCAGATCAAGTTACACTGTAGTTGTGTTTTACTTTTTGAATCAAATCACTGAAATAGATTAAATAAAGTTTCTTTGGTATTCTAATTAATTCAGATGCACCTGAATGATCTTTAAAGACAAATGAACCATCTCATC